GACGGCTGCTGGGCCGCGTGCGCTTCCTGGCAGAGGCCGCTCGGAGCCTCCGCGCTGGGCGGCCGCTGCCGGCGGCGCTGGCTTTCGTGCCACGAGAAGTGCTCTACAAGCTTTACAAGGACCCGGCCGGGCCGTCGCGCGTGCTGCTGCCAGTGTGGGAGGCAGAAGGCCTGGGGCTGCGCGTGGGTGCCGCGGGCCCTGCCCCCGGTACCGGCTCCGGGCCCCTGCGCGCCGCCCGGGACAGCATCGAGCTGCGGCGCGGCGCCTCCGTGCGCACCACGGGCGAGGAGCTGTGCAACGGCCACGGGCTCTGGGTAAAGCTGACCAAGGTACGCTCTGGCCCGCCGGGACCCCGCCGGGTCTAGAAAAGTGCCCGGCCTTTCCCCGGCCCTGCCCCACATTGAGCTGACATTGCGTTCGGTGCCCTTTGCCCTGGACTGGGTAGGCGAGCAGCCAAGCAGTTCCCTGACGGCTGTCCCCGCCTGGGGCGTCCCCGCAGGAGCAGCTGGCGGAGCACCTGGGTGACTGCGGCCTGGACGAGGGTTGGCTGCTGGTGTGCCGGCCGGCGGAGGGCGGGGCCCGCCTGGTGCCCATCGACACTCCGGACCACTTGCAGCGACAGCAGCAGCTCTTTGGCGTGGACTACCGGCCTGTGCTCAGGTCCTGCCCTTGAAGGGACAGGGTCACTGTCAGACAGTCCTGAGGCGTGGGGAACCAGCCAACACGGGGCGGGGTGAGGATATTGGAGTGGAGTCTGGATTAAGAGCAGGAAGGGTCTGGAACCGAAAGAAGCTACTGGGGGAAGGCTTCCGGAGGTGTGACGCTAGAGCTCCGCAGAAGGCTCCAGGGCCTGGAGGTGTGCCATGCTACCCGCTAATGCCACCTCACCCACCTCCCACTCTCCCCGCAGATGGGAACAGGTGGTGGATCTGACATACTCGCATCGCCTAGGAGCTAGGCCTAAGCCCGCTGAGGCATACACAGACGCTGTGCAAAGGCTACTGTGAGTGAGCTGGGATGGGAGGGGGAGGAGGGAGGTCCAGGTCTTGCCCTGACCTAATTAGGGCTTGGGGTTGCGTAGCTATGTGCCCCCAACTTGGACCTACGAGTGTGACGAGGACCTGATCCACTTCTTGTATGACCACCTGGGCAAGGAGGATGAGAACCTGGGTAGCGTGAAGCAGTACGTGGAGAGCATTGACGTTTCCTCCTACACGGTGGGTCCTGGGACTCCCCTGAGGAGACCACATGACCTTACATTCCTCAAGGCTAGCTCCAGAATTCCTGGGGCCAAGCCAGAGTTGCTAGGCCACTGTCAGCCCCCCCCCATCTTGGAAGTCCTATTGGAACCCCTAGGCACCTCCTTCCCCACCCCTCCCTTCCCCAGGTCAGCTGCTCCTTTAGCCCAGCTCCACCGTGCTTTCTTGCACTCCCTGGCCCACAGCACATGCGCAGTGCAGAAGGGAAAGAGACTACTGACTCTGCCTCTCTTGTCCCTCCTTAGGAGGAATTCAATGTGTCTTGCCTGACTGACAGCAATGCAGATACCTACTGGGAGAGCGATGGGTCCCAGTGCCAGCACTGGGTACGGCTTACAATGAAGAAGGGTACCATTGTCAAGTGAGTTGACTCTGGGCAGACAGGGTGGGTGAGCCATGTGCCTATGGGTGTGTAGAGACCCAGGTGCACGTTGTGACCCCTCAGGAAGCTGCTGCTCACAGTGGACACCACAGATGACAACTTTATGCCTAAGCGGGTGGTGGTTTATGGGGGCGAAGGTGACAACCTGAAGAAGCTGAGTGACGTGAGCATTGACGAGTGAGCAAGCTGGCCTGGGGTAGGAGGTGGGGCATGATCTTAGCAATGCAGACCGGCCCAGCTTGGATGCCCGAATTTGAGAGGGATCCCAGCAGTCCCTGAAGGGCTGAGGCAGAAGTATCTGAAGTGCCTCACACCATCTCCTTAGGACCCTGATCGGGGATGTCTGTGTCTTGGAGGACATGACGGTCCACCTCCCAATCATCGAGATCCGCATCGTGGAGTGCCGAGGTGGGGCTTAAGGCCATAAGAAGAGGAAGGGAGCCCGAAGGTGTAGCTGGGTTCAAGCTGACAGTGAGTGTGGAGAGAAGAGAACAGTAGGTTTAGCGTTAGAGTGAAGGTGGTGGCCAGACTAGCTCCAGGCTCTGAAGCTGTGGGACCTGAGCTAGGTGGGAGGTGCCACATATAAGCCTGCCCTAAACCCATAGAGGTAGTTAGGCTTACCTGGAAAAGGAGAAACTGAGTCTGGACCCTCCTAGCATTGTAGAGGTGGACACAGAAGCCAGTAAACAGTACATAAATAATCAGAATATGGGCAGATTGGGATCCCAAGGGTCTCAAGCTTCTAGGGGCTGCAGTTGACAAAAGGCTGAGCATTGAGGATCCATTCCCAGGTCTGAGGGCCAAGAAGGCACCGATCCAGTAAATGACCTTACTATTATTCTTCCCCCAGATGATGGGATTGATGTTCGTCTTCGAGGAGTCAAGATCAAGTCATCTAGACAGCGGGAACTAGGATTGAATGCAGACCTCTTCCAGCCAGCCAGTCTGGTGCGATATCCACGTCTGGAAGGCACTGACCCTGAAGTACTGTATCGCAGAGCTGTCCTCCTGCAAAGGTGGCTGTGATCCTGGGCCCGCAAGCCTCTCTCTTCCCCGATCCTTGTGTGTCTGCGTGGATGAGACCCCAGGATCTTCTAGTATAAGCTGTTCGGCTTCAAAGAGCGGCCTCCGGGCCCTGCCTTCTGTCCCTGTGTGTTGAGGAGTTGGGAATCTTACATCTGTGCCAGAGTCTTTAGCTGCAGTTTTCTTTACCACCCTAGATTCATCAAGATCCTCGACAGTGTCCTGCGTCACCTGGTACCTGCCTGGGACCACACACTGGGCACCTTCAGTGAGATTAAGGTGAGCCTGGAAAACCCAGGGCTAATCATTGGTTGTCTACTTCCTGCTCATGGAGTTGTCATTCTTTAGCAGAGAGTTCTGAAAACCTGCCCTAGGGCTGGACCTTTTTTGGTTCTGGAAACCAAGAAAGCCGGACACAAATAGGCAAAGTACAGTGTCTGGGCTGCTCTTCCTCAGATAAGTATGTGGAATACACAGGGCTGAGGCAGGAGAGGTGATGTCACAGGAAGGAACTCATAGAAAAGGTGCACACTGGGTGCTACCAGCAACAGTACATGATTGAGAACAGCAGAGAGGTGGTGTATGACACAGGGATGAGGCAGGAAGCAGGATTTAACAGCCAAAGGCCCTGAGGGCCAGGCAGTGAACCAGGGACTTTGTCCCAGTCAGTGGAGCCACTGGAAAGTTTATAAGTAAGGTAATGACAGTGTCAGAATTTTTTTGTTTTAGAAAGTTCCCCCCTCCCCAAGCCAGGCATGGTAGCACAGATCTGTAATCTTAGCACTTGGGAAGCTGAGGCAAGAGGATCCGCTTTAACTTAAAGGCCAATCTGGGCTTCCTAGTGAGTTCTGTGCTGGCCTGAACTGCACAAGGGGACTCTCTCAAAAAATCAAAACAAAACCAAAAAAAACTGAAAGCGCCCCCTGGTGACTGGACTGAGGAAGGACCTAAAAGGGCAAAGAGGGAATAGGCTAAATTTGGACTGGAATGGTGAAATTGGGTCTGAGCATAGCGGGAAAGCTCCAGGCTGAACAGAAGGTGACTGCCTGCTGAGCCTGCTCTGGCCACATCTCCCCACTAGCAAGTGAAGCAATTCCTACTGCTGTCACGCCAGCGGCCAAGCCTGGTGGCCCAGTGCCTGCGAGACTCGGAGAGCAGCAAGCCCAGCTTCATGCCACGCCTGTATATCAACCGCCGCCTCGCCATGGAACACCGTGCCTGCCCTTCTCGGGACCCTGCCTGCAAGAACGCCGTCTTCACCCAGGTCTGGAGCACCTGAGCTAGGACTGAGGGAGGTCCTCAGGCAAGAGTAGGGCAGGTTTGACACACACATCCTTGTCTCCTTCCCCCTGTCCCCAGGTTTATGAAGGCCTCAAGCCCTCTGACAAGTATGAAAAGCCCCTGGACTACAGGTACGGCACAGGGAAAGGGACTTGCTCGAGGCAAGTGTACACAGCTCACCCACACATTGCTCCTTCACCCTTCACCATTACCATTTTGTAACCCTTCTCCCGGATGATCCCTTGGCTGGTGAATCAGCCCGAGTCCTGACACCGCCTCATGACAGAGGTCTGCCCCTACTTACAGGTGGCCCATGCGCTATGACCAGTGGTGGGAATGTAAATTCATTGCAGAAGGCATCATTGACCAAGGTGAGGCCCCAGTGGAATGTGAAAAGGATCCTGTGTGTTTTTCTGTTAGCGTCTGAGACTCTTCTGGGCTTACCACCCAATGAAGATCAGAGAGTCTACTTATTGCCCTGTTACAGAGACTGGGCTGTCTTGTGCCTAGCTAGGGGCATCTGTCATTTTAGGGGGTGGTTTCCGAGATAGCCTGGCAGATATGTCAGAAGAGCTGTGCCCCAGCTCGGCCGACACTCCTGTGCCTCTGCCCTTCTTTGTACGCACAGCCAACCAGGTAATTGCCCATCTCCCACCCCCACTTCTGACAAAAGTTTCTGCTAGCCTGTCTCTGTAACTCCCAGGCGCTACACTGACCTCGGGAGAGGCCAAGGGAGGGATGGAGTCACCTAGGGTAGCATCGGGCAGACAAGGAAAGGAAGAGCCTTGGTACTTTCAATGGGTCCTACAGGGGCCCTTGTGGAAGATCTTGGGGGAAGTCTTTGGGGTGCTAAGGGCAGGAAAGTAGAGTCCATCATATGCCACACTGACAGCTTTATCTTTGGGTCAGGGCAATGGCACTGGTGAGGCCCGAGACATGTATGTGCCCAACCCTTCCTGCCGAGACTTCGCCAAGTACGAGTGGATCGGACAGCTGATGGGGGCTGCCCTTCGGGGTAAGGAGTTCCTGGTGAGTAGCCTGATCCACACTGCTGTCAGGTCAGCCCTGGCCCCTGGCAGCTCAGGCGGAGAGGACAGTGTTGTGTGTGTGTCCCACAGGTCCTCGCGCTTCCCGGCTTCGTGTGGAAGCAGCTCTCTGGGGAGGAGGTGAGCTGGAGCAAGGACTTCCCTGCCGTGGATTCTGTGCTGGTGAGTCAGACTGGAATCAGGGTTTCCTCTGCTGACCGCCAAAAGTTGGTGCTCCCCAGGGCTCCCCTGTGCTTCCTTTACCATACTCATGCTCCCTCTGATCCCATCCACACTCGTGATTTCAACCAGTAGCTCTGTTCTGCGAACCCCTAAACTCCGGACCCCCAGCCCCAGCCTTTGTCCCGAGCCTGGGGCCTCACAGGAATGAGCCTCCAGCTCGGCACACTCTCCCCATCCCCTCGAGGGCTCCCTGCTGAGAGCTGCGCCTCCGCCCAGCCCTCAGCACACCAGAGCCCCAGGGTCACCCTGCAGCCGCCGCCTCCTCCTCCGTTGTTCCCCTCATTCTGCCAAGCATCTGTCTGTTTCTCCTATCTTACCATGCGTAGTTCCCCTGGTGCAGACCACCTTTCTTTCTGTCCTAAACACTTACTGCCAGAGCGAGCATCCCTATCTGTATTCTTGCACATCTGATCTCTATGCTGCCAAAGTAATTTATTTTGCTTTCTTTATTTAAATCCTTTAATGGCTTTGCCCTGGTCTTTGGGTAATGTGGACCCTGTAAAGACTCCTTTATTTACCCCTGTGTCCATTTCCACTTGGTACATATTCAGAGTACCAAACAATCCTTATGCCTCTGGAGCTTTGCTTTGCTTTTTTTTTTTTTTTTGGAGACAGGTTCTCACTATGTAGCCCAGGCTGGCCAAGAACTCACAGTGATCCTCCTGCCTCAGCCTCCCGAGTGCTGGGGTTATAGGCATACAGCACCATGCCTGGCAAACCCTTTGCTTCTTAATCTTCCTCTAAGACTGTCTTTCCTGACTTCCCTGATGGCCCAGCCAAGTCTCAGCTATCATTTGGGTCTCAATTCAGGTGCCATTTCCTACAGGATGCCTTCCTGGTCGCCAAGGCTGACCAGCTCTGATCTCTTGCGGCTTCCATAGCCTGGTAGTTGCTCCTCACACCCTGTTGCCTGCTTGGGCCCCACCTTGCCTGGCTGCTTCCCTGCCTGCTTATGAGCATCTTGAAGAAAGACAGAGACTGTCTCCCCAATGAGAAGCTGAGCTCCCTGCCTCTGACTCACCCCCAGGTGAAGCTCCTGGAAGTGATGGAAGGAATGGACAAGGAGACATTTGAGTTCAAGTTTGGGAAGGAGCTGACGTTCACCACTGTGCTCAGTGACCAGCAGGTGGTGGAGCTGATTCCTGGGGGCACAGGCGTCGTGGTGGGATATGAGGACCGTTCTCGTTTCATCCAGCTGGTACAGAAGGCGCGACTAGAGGAGAGCAGGGAGCAGGTAGCAGCCAGAGTTCAGCCTCTAGAACCATCTACAGAAGAGCTTTTGCCCCCGGCCCAACACTGCCCCACGGCCCTGCCAATCAGCGGGTACAGAGATGCCCAGTGGAAGCTGAGAGTGGTGTCCTCCCCTAGCCCAGCCTTTTTTCTCCTTTGCAGGTGGCAGCCATGCAGGCGGGTCTGCTGAAGGTCGTCCCACAAGCTGTGCTGGACTTGCTGACCTGGCAAGAGTTGGAAAAGAAGGTGTGTGGGGACCCAGAGGTCACTGTGGATGCCCTGCGCAAGCTCAGTGAGTTCCGGGCTGTGGGGTGAGGAAGTTCAGAGAAGAGGGCTTCAGGACTGGGCCCAGTAAGACCTAAAAGTGAATTCTTGCTTTGACTCCTTCAGCTCGGTTTGAGGACTTTGAGCCCTCTGACACAAGGGTGCAGTATTTCTGGGAGGCACTGAACAATTTCACCAATGGTCAGTAAAAGCGAGCAAAGCGATGCCCGATTCAAGTTGGTTCTGTGGGATGCAGAGCCTGGGTGGCGGTGGTAAAGCCTCCCACGCCATCAGCTGCTGCTCATTTCTTTCTCCTCCCCCCAGAGGACCGTAGCCGCTTCCTGCGTTTTGTCACAGGCCGTAGCCGCCTACCAGCGCGGATCTACATCTACCCAGACAAGCTGGGGTGAGTGCATGCACAGAGGGAGGACCTGTGCCCCCTCAACACACACACACACTTGCCCATAGAGCTCTTCCTCACCTGTGGCCCTCAATTCCTCCAGCTATGAGACCACAGACGCGCTGCCTGAGTCTTCCACCTGCTCCAGCACTCTCTTCTTGCCGCACTATGTCAGGTGGGTCTCCTGGGCCCCGCCTAGGGCTGGCATCCTTGGTGTGAGAGGACTTCCAGCAGAGAAGTGCAGTACTGGAACCCCCTCACCCCTCAGAGTGCTAGGAAGGCCTGACCCAGCCCTTCCTCTGCAGCGCCAAGGTATGCGAGGAGAAACTCCGCTATGCCGCCTACAACTGTGTGGCCATCGACACTGACATGAGCCCCTGGGAAGAGTGAGATGCCCTGCACAGCCCACTGCCTTTGCCTGGGCGAATACACCACACCTTCCCTGCCTGGCTCGGGCTTGTACTCTGACCAGAACTGATAGGTCCAGGAAATCTGCAGCACACCCTGCTCCTCTGTGTGGCTGGAGTCGGGGTGGTGAGTTGACACTGGGATTCAGACCCACAGACCCACAAGCCCTCCTCATGCTGGGACTTGCTTGCCAGGTGTTTAATCTCTGCCAGAGAGAATCTTCCACAAGCCCAGCACAAGCTGCCAGGCCTGAGCTACTTGAAGGGAGGTATTCAGCTTCCCACTCCATGGAATTTGCTTCCTTTTTCTGTTCCACCTATTTTTTCTGTTCTTTTTTTTGTTTGTTTCCTGGCCTCCACAATGGCTTGAAATTTTTTAAACTTTGAAAGATGGTGTATCCCCTCTCCCTAAGCAAGGAACCAGGGATGGACAGAGAGTAGTGTTTATCTACCTTGGTCACATACCCCAAGAGTGAAGCCACAGTGAACTTCTGTTCCCTCAGATACTGGTCTTTTCCTCCTTTCCCTCCATACCAGAGGTGTGAGCTTTTTCTTTCCTCCAACCCAATCTCAACTGATAAAGTGCCACCACCATCCCTGGCTCTGAACCTGCATCCATTCAACATTACCTTGTTACTGCCACCCCGTACCTGTCACTTCTATATCACCTCCAGCCTGATTCCCCATCTGCTGTCTTACCCTCAAGATCTGCACAGACTAGGAACAATTATGTCCCCTTCAGTGGCTTCCCTTTCCCTACTCTAAAATAAAACCTAGACTTTAAATTTGCTTCCAGGGCTATGCACACCCCCACCCCAGCCCTTCTTCCCTCAGGGGCCTCCGTAGCACTCCTTTAGAAGATGTCATACAGGGAAAATTGAATAAATGGATACATTCATTCCTTCAGAATGGGTTTGTTTGGGGGCTGGGGATTTAGCTCCGTGGCACAGCATCTGCCTGGCAAGCACAAGGTCGTCGTGAGTTCGATTCCAGTACTGAAAAAAAAAAAAAAAAAAAAAAAAAGAATGGGTTTGTTTGTTGGCTTCTGGGGTGTGTGTTGATTAGCTTCCCTTGAATGAGCCTTCCCAGCCAGGTTTCTACTGGTAGTCAGGGAGCCGTGTGTGTGGTGAGAGTGGCAGGGCTTCTCAATGCAAACATGCCCTCTGGAATTGAGCAGCAGGGTGGGGCCAGAAAGGAAGGGAAAAGGCTGACCTGGAATCTTGGGATGGCTCTGGTGATTTAGAGCACAGAAGTCCACTTTAGGAACCAAGAGGGCACCACAGGGTCTTGTCATAGAGGACAAAGCCTTGGGATGTCTGATAGCCTAGCTGAGGATTGTTACAGACGCAGGAGCAGCAGTAGCACTACCACCCTCCACCCACGTCCAGTTGCCACACAATGCAGTAAGTTCAAGGCCAGCCTGAGCTACATGAGACCCTGTCTCAACAAACAAACATGCCAGGCATGGTGGTACACACCTATAATCCCAGCGCTCAGGAGGCTGAGGCAGGAAGATTGCTGTGAGTTCGAGGTGGCTTGGGCTACAGAGTGAATTCAAGTCCAGCCTGAACTACATAGCAAGACCTTGTCTCAAAAGCAGACAGGGGCCAGGGATATAGTTCAGTGGCACAGCACCCACCTGGCAAGCACAAGGTGCTGAGTTTGATTCCAGGTACCAAAAAAACCCAAACCAACAAAAAAGACATTGGAGGAAGCGAAGAATTGATACTGCTGCCTGAAGGAATAGCATCTGGTAATTCTAGGCACTTTCTGCCCTACCCAAAGAATTGACCAGGACAACTGGTGAACAGGTAAATGCAACTTTTATTTAAGAGAAGAAAGAAGGAAAAGTAAAGAAACAAAAAGAGTAAAGAAAAGAGAGAAGCAAGAAGAGACACATATCACAAGCAAAATGGTCCAGAAATAGAAGGACCACAGAACAGCAAGATCACAGTGGCAAGGAAGTCAGTGGCTGCCATCTTTGATACTCATTCAGTTCTGATCCACGGGAAGTTGCTCTGTCCACAGATCCTGGCCACGATTGACAGGTCACATTCTGTTGTTTAGCCTCTGTTTTGGATCTTTGTAACTGACAGGTTGCATCCTGTCTTCCAGCATGCTGCTATGCCCTAATCTGCTTCATTTCCCCTTTGAGAGACATAAATCCCCATAATTCTTTATGGGTTGTTGAGGGAGTGGAGGTCTCAGTCTTCAGGTAGCTACTTCCTGCTGAAAAGGACTGTAGGCCCTACCTACTGGGGATTATGTATTCTCTGCTTTAGGATAATACGGCTCACCAGCTAGGCTGAGGAAAACCTGTCAGAGGGCAATAAGAAAAGAGTGTTATAATAAAGTAACAGAAGAGGGCTTGATGAACCTGTTAGGCGCCTGTGAAGGTAAATATGGATGTTCGATAGGCTATGATGTGTATTTAATGGTGACTATCTGTGCTTGAAGCCAAACTGCAGAGTTGCCTTTTGAAGAGGAGCTTCAGATCTCCCAGAGGTTCACGGGAGTAGAGTCTTAATCCTGTGAAAATGTGAATGATCATTTTCCCATGTAAGGTTTTTATAGCTTGTCACTGTGTTCTTTGAAGAACGCCCAGAATGGTTGTTCAGGAACTGGGGTAAGGCCATGATCTTGAGGGCTGACAAGGCCACCCTACTTGCCTCCCTGTCAGCCTTTTATAATATATGACAGTGACCTGCTTGGGAATCCAAACTACCTTTAGAAGTTGAGCTAGCAGCCCCTCTTTGGGACTGCTGTATAGGCGCGAAGGTAGAAGACAAATTGGGGTAACGTCGATCTCCCTCACACGCCTGTGCATGGCTGCTGGTCTGTTCCCAGCCCTGTTGCTTGGTGGGTACATACCGGACAAGGACAACACCACTGGAGCCTGTAGGCTCTAGAGGGATAGGGTGTACCCGGAAATGATTAAGCATGTCAAAAATGGACAAGAACCACAGGTGCTGGACCCAGCACTCACCATTCTCTTTCAGTGACAAGTACAGGTGCTTGGCCCTGCCCTTGAAGTTAAATGTGAGGACATATTCGCCCTCCCTTGTCTCACTATGACGAACCAGGAAGACACCATGGGAGCTGGTGCCTCCTTCTAGTACCAGCTGAGTGGCCTTGAGTCGTGAGAGCATCCCATGGAACCAAGGGCACCCTGAGAGAGGATGAACTGTCCCAGCCAGGGGGCCCTCCTCCACCGGGAAGTGAATTGGCAATTCTGGGGGAAGTAGTTCCATTGAGTTACGATGGAAGGTGGCCAGGGTGGAAGAACTGGGGGAGGTGGAAAGACACAAAACATACAGAGATGCAAAAGCCTGAACATAAGGGACTTCAGTCCACTTTCCATGCTTTTTGCAGAATCGATCTAGCTGTAAAATAGTATTGTAGTCTAAACTGCCATTCTGTACCCATCTCTTGCCATTGTCAAGTTGGTACTGGACCCAAACCGTATTACAAAAGTAGATGAGTTGTTTCTTCTTCAGATTGGCAGGGTCAAATCTTTCCCAGTGTTGAAGAATACAGCCTAATGGCGAGATCGCTGGGATCTGCGAGGTGCTTTTCAGGGTGTTTCCCATGATGTGTCTCAAGGCCTATGGAAAGAGAAAATTAGGTGTGGAGTCCTTCAGTGAGTGTCTCCTGCTGAAGGACAAGACCCACTGGGTACACAAAGCATCCCTTGTGATACTCAGAGTACTTACTAGATAGATGTCTCTGCTCAAAACTAGTAATCTGCACCAATGCCTTCTTAGACAGGTAAATGCCCCGGTTGCCCTCCCAGCCTTGGGACTCTCCATACCAAGGCCCACCAACTCCTTAGGGAGAATGGTGGAACCCAAGGGGCTCCCTTAGCCATTTGAAAAACAGTAGATCAGAGTGAGGCCCTGGTAGGACTTTTCCCACCTGTCTGGGAAACAATATCCTTTACACTCACCATGTCAAAGTTGTGGTAGTTTGTTTAGAGCAGTATAGGTTACCCTGATCTTTGAGAGAATCTAAACAAAGTCTCATGTTTTGGGGTTTTTTTAAGCAAAAGTTTTAACTCCTATAAAATGTCGCTTTAAAGAGATTACAGTTACAGCTGCTTAATTTAGAGGTCTGGATTTGTAAACAACAAAAGCCTCTAACACCAAGATAAAGACAATAAAACAAAGTTTAATAAACTGTTGATTAATATACACGATTACACACAAAAAAGTACAAAACTATATCACCAAACTGAAAGAGCGTTGATCCTGAAATCTAGCACTAGGAAGTCCTGTATACCCCCTTTGGGGTTTTGACTGGGAAGGGCCTGGGCAGAGTATCCCTTCCACAGATGAGACTTTAATGTCCCCCTGCAGGGACATTAAACAGCAGTCAAGACAAAAGTGACAGTGCCCCACCTGTGTGTGTGACCCCGGGTAAAGAGTTTGCAGCCTCCAGGAGCAGGCCAAGTGCCTAAAGTCAGCACGTACCTGTACCGTCTGGACAGGTGCTTCAGAGAGAGAGCGTCCCTGAGAGCAGACCAGGTTCACAGCGAATTCTGCTCATGTCAAGATGCTCTGCCAGGCATCGTGACAGTTCATCTTTAGAACAAGGCTGTGACACCGTTAGGAACAGGAAAGCTCTTTTTACATTTAATTTTAATCTTTTATAAGGGCAAAAGGAAAAAGTTTAGAAGCCTTATAATCCATGTCTGTTCAGAAGACAAGAATAATATATTTTTAATCTTTCTCATATTCTCAGATTGTAAGAATTTAACAAATACAGTGGTCAAATCCCAACCCTTTTCAAACTCAGGAGTTTAATGCTGCTGACATGAGACCATTCTTTTGTGCCCAAATCAATGGCCAACTTTGTGGAACGGTCTGCTGCCTTGAGCACCAAAGCCAGCTGGCACTGAACCCTGAGATCAACGATGAAGTGAGTCTCCAAGACACACTTGTGGCTTGCTGGTCATCACTTGACCAGAACTGTCATTATATCCCTTTTAGTGACTTTCCCAGCCACAGAAGAAGTGGCAGGAACAGGGAAATACTACCTTCAGAATTTCCCTAGCAGTGGACAACTGTGAGCATATACACTTAGGCTTTTTAAAGACAGAAAAAATTTAACTGAAATATATCAGCATGGGATACTAAAAGAAAACATGAAAGCCGTGTGGAAAAAAAAAAATTTAAAAAAGCCATGTGGAAATGAAGAAGCACATCTGTAACAGTCTCGGTCTTGAGGTTGAAGGAACTGAATATCCAGAGAGAAGAGCAGGTGCAGGGGGGAAAAAAAGCATATCCATTACTCTTCTCCAAGGATATGTCCAGCGAGAGGTGGTAAGGGACTTTGTGACTGGCTCCCTTGTTGGTCAGCATCTGGCTCTTGGGATTCCTTTGCACAACAGATAGTATGGCAGCGGTTGTAGACACAGGTCCTCTTTGATAATCTCAGCAATTCTGTCAGACTCTGGAACATCATGGTCTGAAAACCAGGTGAAAAAGTTGCAAATGAGGTCTTGTTTTTTGTGAATTAAGGACTGGGCTTTGTATCCCCTATACCATATGATTGGAGTGGAAAGAGACACTACGTACCCAGAAGATCTGACATCGTATTTCTTGACAGTCAACTTGTTTTTGAGGTAAGGGTTTCTTTGAATTTGCAGCCAATTTTAGGATGTCTGAGTTTAGTTATGTACCTTAAAAAGTTTGTATCTTGGCCCCTAATCATGGTAGACACTGAGGTGGTTTCTAAAGGCAGTCATCCAGGAGCCCAGGATATTCTGAATGATGTAATTTCTTTGCACTAGATAGGGGCAGTGCATCCACCCAAACTTTTCAGCTCTTGAAAGGCCCTGTTGGCCTGAGCATTCACAGTGTCCAGTTCCAGCTGGGATGGCATCACCTTGGTCAATAGACCACTGAAACCATATACCTGTGCACCCCAGGTTTTCAAGCTTTTGTTCTAACTGCTATAGCCAGTACTCAAACACACCATAATTAGCATCATTTCTAATTTTTTCTACAGAGAGTGTCAACTTCATTTTTTTCTCTGACTGGCCAGTCCAATGTCACATGTGCTTTCAGCTCCTTCATGGGTTTTGTTGTTGTTGTTGTTTTGGGTTTTTTTATTTTTGTTTTTGTTTTTCAGTTTTTCTTTTCCTCAGAAGAGAGATAGTGGTCCTGCTTCTCAAGCAAAGAGATGATCTTCTCTTGTTGGGCCTTAATCTGTTGGCATTGCTGGTTCAGATGCTCTTTAGTGGTTCCAACATGTTTATCAACATCAGCTGCTTGGTGCCTAATTATGCGGTTTTTAGTTTGGGTGAGATGATCACATATCCCTTGGAGTTTTTCTTTGTACTCCTGTTGATGCTCTGCCAGTTTGGGGTTTGTTATTGTTGTTGCTTTTCCTATATAGTATTTGGATCTCCTGGGGTTTGTGGTTCTCTCAGTTGTTTCAGAGATCCACTAAATAATATAACTTTGAAGAGTTTTCATTTTTAAATTTTTCATCTGTCATTTTGTCTCTATGTTGAGCCCTCAAAAAAGCTATATGATTTGAAGTGATTCAGATAAGTGTTCCTTTTTGGTTGATAATGTCTCACTAGCAATCTTTTGCTTAAAGAAAGGAGATTTTAGCTGGGCGTGGTGGTGCACGCCTGTAATCCCAGCACTCGGAAGGCTGAGGCAGGAGGATCGTTGTGAGTTCGAGACCAGCCTGGGCTACAAAGTGAGCTCAAGGCCAGCCTGAACTGCACAGCCAGACCCTGTCTCAAAAAGATTAAAAAAAAAAAGATTTTGGGGCTGGGGATATAGCTCAGCAGCACAAGCTTGAGGTTCTGAGTTTGATTCCCAGTACCAAAAAAGAGATTTTCCAGCCTTCTTAGTGTAACTTTTTGGCTTTTTAAAAAACATGCTCTTTTGTTTCTCCTTGTCTGTGATTTTGAACATACTTTCACACAAATCATCTCTTTACAGGGGAGTTCAATCTATCTAATCAATGGATCCTCTCAGTTTTTTTAAGTCTAATGTTTCTAACTTCAGAGATGTACAGATTATAAGTTGATTTCCTTTGCTCCTTTCTGCAGATTTAAGAAGGTCTTAATAATACTGTTCACATATATTAATTTCTTTTTCCAGTTGTCCTACATCTGAGCCTAAATATATTTGGGATTCCTGGCTATCTTCCAGAAAAATCTTCAAACTGAGAATGCAGATTACTCAGAACTTCTGGTATTCACCAGGCAACATTGCCTTTATTGAAGCCCTGTTGCTAGCTCGAATTCTATCAATTTCATTGATGAGCTAATGCCAGGATACTATCCTATACTCTTCATGTTTATGTGAGACTCACATCAAACAGTCAAGACATTTTGATATTGTTGCTCAATTGTATTTGCAAAGTTAACTGCTTCTTTGTTGGTGGAGAACGGTGAGGCACACAGATGGGACCACAGCCTCACTCCTAGCAGCTCTAAGGACCTCTCATTCAGCACAGTGAGAATTGTTCTGGAGCACAGCCGCCACTTTCTCCGGCAGGATGGAGGTCTGGCAGCGCACTAGGCAAGACAGGGTTAAGCTGTGGGCAGGAATGTAGCTTTGCAGGCACCTCTTGCAGAAAGTGTGCAGACAGGGAGAACCTTGAGATTCTTATACCGTTCCAGGCAAATACTGTGCTACAAATCAGAAACTGATCTGGCGCACCACTTAGGTCCTTGGGCCACAGCTAGTGTCTCGCTGTCGGGCATACTCAGCACCCAGCACTGTCCTCAACTTGTTGGGCGGCTTTCCTCCCGGCCCGCGCCGGTTTGTGAGGCCCAGCTCCCAGCGCCACTTGTCTGTCAACGCAAGAGTCGCTGTTCAAGGGCGGCGCTTCGCCGGATCAGATCCTGCTTTGGCGGACACGCAGACCTCTGCGGCTGCGGCGCTAGGCAGGCAGGAAACTGATTCACTCCCTAACCCCGCCCCTCGGAGAAAAGAAAGCGAAAACACCCCTTTTCTAAGGGAAGGGTAAGCCGAAAGAGACCTCCCGCCTGTTGTCCGGGGAAGCGCCCAGGGAGAAAGCGGAAGTGACTGTCCCGCACTTCCGGCCTCCGCCGCCAGTGAAAATAGCGGGAACAGCGCCCTCCGCGAAGGGGTCAGCTGGAGCGGCTGGCCGAAAGCCGCTGTGCGCTTCCCGGCCAACACCCTCAGGCGGGCACCCGCAGCTGCCTGCGGAGCCGCTGTCCCGTGCCCGCTGTCCCCGCTTTTCCCTGGCCGTTCCATCCCGGCAAGGCGCCCGCGGGTCTCAGGGCGCCCGCAGCTGAGGGCTGGCGGCTGGTGCGGAGCGGCTCCCGGGCCGTGGGGACGCGCGCTCTTACTCCCTCTGCGCCAGCTCGCGGCGCCTCAGTCCCCGGCTCCGGCCTCACCACCCCAGGTGCCCGTGGCCCGCGGCGGGCAGCGGCGTCGCCTCTGCGCGCTCGAGAGGAGGGTGGCGCTCAGCTCGGCTGCAGGACACAGGCGTGAGGCGCCTCCTCGGCTGCGCTTGCCCCGGGCTCGGGAGGGCACAATCCGGGCGCGGCAGCCCCGCCCGGGCATCGGCCCCCCGCGCACCACTCAGGGCCGGTCCCCTCAAGCTCCTGATCCCCAGGGCTGGGCCTGCAAGTGCTGATTCTGCCCGCCGATTCCGCATGCCCCGCGGCGGCGAGGCTGCAAGTGCAGGCAGGCGGCACCGGCCCCGACGCCCAGCAGTGTCCACCTGAGACAGGGCCGCCCCTACGGCCCGCAAAGGCCCGGAGTTTCAGCTCCCCGGGCTAAAGTCAGGCCTTAAAGGGGCCCCGCCTCGGTCTTCACCCCAGGTGGGATTATTGCCTGAGCAGAGGGCATGGGGTGCCGCGGGGTGGGCCTGGCTGCGCTGCTCTAGGCTGAACTCGGAGACTCTGGCCCTGACCCCCTTAACCTTTTTCGCCTCCGGGCACCCACTTACGCCTAGGGCTTGTCCTCCAGCCTAGAACTGGACACAGATGGAAACCCTTGCTCTGCTTGGCTCCGAGGCGGGAGCTGAGACAAAGCACCAGCACGGACTCCTGGCCCTGTGGGGGGTCTTACTTTTGGGCTTCCTTAGGTCCCAGCTGTTATTCTCCTCGCTTTGGCTGGCCAAAAGCTGCTGCCCGATGGCGCGGTGTCCGGTGATCCTAGGCTCTTTCTGTCCTGACCAAAGAATTGGCTGGGACAATTGATGAACAGGTAAACACAACTTTTTTTTAAAGTAAAGATAGAAAAGGGGGAAAGTGAAGAAAAGAGAAGAAAGAAAAGAATGAAGAAAAACAAGAAGACATATGTCCAACAAGCACGGAGATATGTCCCACTGCGGAAACAGGACAGCAGAACAGCAAGATCTCAGTGGCCGGGAAATCCAGAGCCCCAGTCTTTTATACGTCAGATCCCGTCAGGTGGAAGTTATTCTGCCCAAGCATCAGTGGCCTGACTGACAGGTCACATCTTGTTGTTGAGCCTCTGTTTTGGATTTTTGTTAACTTACAGGTTACATCCTGTCTTCCAGCCACCCTGCCGTGCCCTAATCTCTTGCCTCAGTACTGAGGGTAAGGGAGAAGGGAAGGATAGAGCCCTCAAAAATGCAGGTGATTCCTGTGGCACCCTAACCTTCTCAGAGAGCACTCTGATCTGGGTGTGGTGGTGCAGGCCTGTAATCCCAGCACTTGGGAGGCTGAGGCATTGTTTTGATTATTTACTATTTTGACACATTATTATTCTTCAGGAACTACTGTTCTTTTGTTATTGTTCTTTTTTCTGTTTATTTCATTTTATTTTTCTTACCTTGTAACAATCTTTGTATAGTGTGAAACTAATTAAAAGTTGATAGTCACTGACCAACATTAGTTCAAAGCACTGTGCTAAGTGGTACATATATTTATGTTGTCAATAATTTACCTCCTCAACAATTTGTCTCAACAACTTTTTAAAGTAGGATTATGCCCTTTTCTAGATAAGAAACCTAGAGCAAAAAGGAATTAAGTCACTTGCCCCAGGGGACGAAGTAGGTGGTGAAGGTAGAATTGGAAGGTAGTCTGCCATCTCCAAAACCTTCTGACTTGGTAACTAAAGTTTTACATGCTCTGTATTAACCCCTCTGTGTGTCATACCAGAAGGACTGTGTATTTAGCATTCATAAAGCCCTGGGTTCAATCCTCATCTCCAGGTAAAGAAACTGAAAAGGGAGAGTCTGAACAATGCTTGCAGTTTTTTTTTTTTCTTGTTGTATAACATGTATAATATAATATGAAACAAACATCTCTATGCCTCAGTGAAATGTCATACACCTAAGTTTAGATCTGCTAAAACATTTTCTTTTTTGAATGTTCAATCTCATAAAATAGCTCTGAAAATCCTTTAATGCAGAGGTTGTGCTCCCATTGCTTCCTCTGGGACATCCTTTTTAGTCACAGCTACTCTCCTGATTAATGTAGATAAAGTCATTTTTGCTAAATCCTTCTGACTCTGTGTAGGGTCTCTCATGACAGCCGAGTCAACATTATCGTGATCATTATTTCTAAGACTCCTTTTATATTCAGTTTTCACTTAACTTCCAAGATTATCATTTTCATTTCTTTGTTCACTTTTTGTTGACCAAATCTCTCTTTTGATTATGTTTTTATAAAATATCATGTAGTTTGTCACTGGAACACAAGGAAACAACCATACCCTTTGCACTCTGTATAAACTGAATAAAAGATGCACTGAACAACTCCCAACAGAGTTTGGGAGAGGTGGCAGCCCCCTAAAATTGATTTTGGCAAGATTTGATAGTATTTACATTGCTTTTATGGAGGAGAGAATTTTTACAGTACATACAGCTATACTCCACTATGAGTCAACTGTTCTTTAGAAAGAAAATTTTAAGAAGATTCAAATGAAACACAAACTCCACTTTTTAATAGCCTCCACTAAACTCAAAAGACCTCATAGCTGTCAGTATGATGTTCTTCCTGCTATTTCTTCCTGCTTGCCTTAGTTTCTTTCCTCACTGCTGAGATGAAAATACCCAACACCAAAGTTAAAGGAGGAAAGGTTTATTTGGCTCGCAGTTTGTAGAGGTTTCAGTTCATAGTTGGCTGGCTCCAAGGCAGGGTGGCATGGCAGAGACATTGCGGAGGAGAAACAACTCAGGGCAGGTGGGAAGTAGCAAAAGCAGTAAAGTTGCAAGTGATAAACAGTGATGCTCTTTCTGCCCTTTATATCCTATGCAGGCTACCCACCTTTAGGGCGGTGTTATGGTTTATGTACAGATGCTCCCCTGCCTCAAAGCCCCATGTAGTCATAGGGCTTTTTCAGAGGTGGCTGGATCTAGAGTGTGTGATGCTGGGATTAAGGATGTGTGATTACAGGGCTGGGGATATAGCTCAGTGGCATAAGCACCTGCCTGGCAAGCACAAGGTCATGAGTTCAATCCCTGGTACCGCAAAGAAAAAAAAAAAGAAACACTGCGCTGTGGTCAGAATTTTGGGGCTGGGGATTTAGCACAGAGGCACAGTGCCTGCCTGGCAAGCGCAAGGTCGTGAGTTCAATTCCTGGTACCGAAAAAAAAAAACAAAACCAAAAAAAAAAAGGATGTGTGATTACTAAATCAGTCCACTGATTGGTTTGGCATAGTTCTGGCTAGGATTAAGGGTATAAGTACCAATACACTAATTAAACCACTTATTTGCAAAATTGACCCATGCTTAGAACATTAATGTCCAGATGCTTGATCTTTAAAACCACCAGCAATGAACTGGGTATGGTGGTACATGCTTGTAATCCCAGTATTTGGGAGGCTGAGGCAGGAGGATCCTTGCAAGTTCAAGGCTAGCCTGGGCTACAAAGTGAGCTCAAGTCCAGCCTGAACTGCTTAGCAAGACCCTGTCTCAAAAAGACAAAAACAAAACAAAACAAAACAACCTACCAACGATGAAAATTCTATGTGCTCAAA